GTAAGGTTAACCCTGCATGGTGTAAATGTTTGAAAATGATTAACAGTTGCAAATAAACATTCATTAGAAATTTAGAAAAGTAATCAAAAAGTAATCAAAAGTAATCAGTTACATTACTTTAATAAAGTAATTGAAAAAGTTACACTACTATTACATTTTAAATAGGGTAACTTGTAATCTGTAACCCATTACATTTCCAAAGTAACCTTCCCAACACTGGTGATCAGTTTGTTTTATTGCCCTCTGGGAGACGATTTTTAATGCCTAGAGCAAAGACAAATATTTATAAAAAGTCTTTTGTACCTGCTGCGATCGGATTTATTAATCAAAAAGCTATGTGATTCAGTATGATGGTTTTTATGTGTTTTGTAGTATGTGTCTGTATGTGTATTTGGTTTTCGCTGGTGTGGTCAAAGACAAATTTCAACCATGGTTGACAATAAAGATGTATTGTATTTTTGTATTGTATTGTATTTTTTTTACCTGAGCCAGTTGTTTCTGAAGCTTCTGAATCTTTTTCTCTTATTCCCCTGTCTTTTGTTGCTCACTCTCATAAGGCTCTCTGTCTCTCTCTGAAGGACATTCAGCAGTTGCTGCAGTTACAGCAGCTGGTCCTGATGCCAGGTCATCCTCTACAGTCTCCTGCTCAGTTCCTGCTTCCTCAAGCCCAGGCTCAGCAGGGTCAGCAAGGTGCGACGCGCCTGTTCTCACATTTTCATCATGCCTATGGGGTCTCTGTCACACCAATAACATTTGTGTGCACTGATGTCTTTAGTGAGAAATTGCCATTCATGCTCTTTCAGGTTTGCTTTCGACACCAAATTTGATTCCACTACCTCAACAAAGTCCAGGGAGTCTCCTGACCTCCCCGTCTAGACTGGGCCTTCAAGCACAGGTATGCAACCAAAACGGGTTCAAACTACATTGTTGTCAACCTTATTATTGCTTATTTAATTAGCAAGTGGTGTCCAGTTATCATCTCGGTAATAAATATGGTAATTTTTTAATTTTTTTTATCAGTGTTAATGGCAATTTTCAACAGTACAATCGAATAATGAGTCAACAAAGGAGTTTTATAGATGTACAAGAAATAGAAGGTCGAGCACAATACAGTGTGCTCTGCTGCATACAGCAAATGTAATAATTTAAATAAGTATGCTGAGAAATTGTTGCATATTGTGCATGCATTACCATTCTAAAGTTTGGGGTGGTAAGATGTTTTTTGCTTTTGAAAGTCTCTTATTGCTACCAATGCTGCATTTATTTGATCAAACATACAGTAAAAACAGTAATATTGTGAAATATTATTGCAATTTAAAAAAACAATTTCTGTGAAGTGTCACATGATCCTTCAGAAATCATTTGAATATGCTGTTTTGCTGTTCAAGAAACATTTCTTATTATAATCAATATTGAAAACAGTTTTGCTGCTTAATATTTCTGTGGAAACTGTGATTTATTTTCCAGTATTCTTTGATGAATAGAAAGTTCAAAAGAACAGCATTTATTTGAAATATAATTTTTTGGGGAAAAAATTACTGCCAATTTTGATTAATTTAATGCATCCTGGTGAATAAAGGCATTTAATAATTTCATAATTTAAAAATCTCACAGACTCCACACTTTTGGAACATTAATGTACATATTGCATATTTTTGAAAGTATGTAGTATGCTATCTAAAGTCTAGATTTGTTCCCTTGAAGCTTTGAACAGTTCAAAACCATAGGACTAGAAATGAATCTTATGGGAAATGAAGAGGATTTTTGCGATATGTTTGAAATGGAAGCGCTGTCTGTCTCGCACTATACCTGTGTTTGAGAAAGTAGTGTGTTTCCCCAATCTGTGCTGTAGTATCATCTTGACGACAGGCTGTGGTCATTGCAGAGGGAGAAGAGCGTGGAGAGCGCTGTGAGCTCCGCCCCCTCCTCAGTCCCGCCCATGAGCTCCGTTCCCACGGTGACAGCTCACGGTGAGGAGCCCAGCGATCTGGAGGAGCTCGAACAATTCGCGAGAACCTTCAAACAGAGGAGAATTAAACTGGGCTTCACACAGGTGTGTGTGTGTGTGTGTGCGTGATCTTGGATATTTTCTGTCACAGTTCGAAACATGTTTTTAAAAATCTAACTTCAAAAAATATAAATAAACTTTCTTTCAAAACACTTATTTTTTTAAATCTATTGAAAATAAACAACACTTCCACAAATCATTTATTTATAATTAAGGGAGGCATTTAGGCATGTAAATGCAGCTTTAATGCATTTACATTTTTGGTAAATATATGCAAAAATATTAAAATATGCAACTATGATCTTTTTTTGTATTTTTATTGAAATGATACTTTTTACATTTTATTGATTAAATAACATTTTAATACAAGATTAATGCATTTGAAATTGTACTAAATATTTAAAATTTGAAACTATCATCTTGTATTTTTAATGAAATAAACAATACTTAGTTTTCATATATATAATTAAGGGAGGTGATCATTCTGAGCAGCTTTTAAATCTTTGTGTTTTAATTTATTTAATACCAATTTAATAATACTTTAATACATTTAAATGTTAAAAAAATATTTACCATATGCAACTATCTTTTTTTTGTATTTCTATTTGAAGTAAACACTACTTATTTATCATATATAAGGATATGTATATAATTAGTGGAGGCATTAATTTAAATAGCATTTTTTCGCAAGCTTTTACAATTTATTTATTTGAATTAATTTAATGCCATTTTAATGTATTATTTTGGATCAGACTTTCTTTATTGACTTAATTTTATTTTAAAATCGCATGGGATACCAGCCGTACTGTTATTTTACCAAGAAAGTTAACAAAAAGGTCAAAACCCGTGACGCAGATGCAAACAGTTGGCACAGTGAGAAATTTAGATTTAGTAACGCTATTCAGTGAAGCTCAAAATAAATTAGATGCTTTGTGAGAAAATAACACACGGCTAACACACACATTTCTGTCTGGATGAGATTTGATTTCTCAGAGGATTTGCTCTGGACTTTTTCTGAGGTTGTGTGAGAAAAAACACATAAGTTGCTATTGAAATCACATAGTGAGTCTGTGAAACATAAATTGAGCTGTCCTCAAACTAACCTATTCATGTCTGCATAGGGATAAATTAATAAAACAAGCGAATGGTAACTCTGCTCCATGTCTTCATGCAGGGGGATGTGGGTATGGCCATGGGTAAACTGTACGGCAATGACTTCAGTCAGACCACCATCTCACGTTTCGAGGCTCTCAACCTCAGCTTCAAGAACATGTGCAAGCTCAAACCCTTGCTGGAGAAATGGCTGAACGATGCAGGTGTGTGTTTCTGTCAGTTCCCTGTCGCCGTTTCACATTAGCGTTCCCTATGATTCATGTATGTGTGCGTTTTTATGTTACAGAAATCATGGCGATAGACAACATGCTGCCGAGCCCCAGTTCGCTGTCCTCACCTCTGCTGGGCTTTGACGGCTTGCCTGGGCGACGCCGAAAGAAACGCACCAGCATCGAGACCAACGTCCGCATAGCCCTGGAGCGCAACTTCATCTCGGTTAGACACACACACATGAACACACACGCCGTACCAAATGTTGTAAGATTTTAGGCACACCTCAGCTTCAGGAGTGACCTCTTTTTTTGCCGTCTCATGATAAAAAAATATATTAGTTCGCTTTTTGAAAATGCTGATGCCATTTTTTTCTCTCTTTCTCTAAGGAGAATCAGAAGTCTACCAGCAAACTAATTTATTGCGATATACAGTATAAAAATTGTCACCACATTAAACCCCTTATACATCTGGCGTGATTGTAAAAGTATTTCTTGAGCATATTATTACGCATTATTATCATAGACCAGCTTACTTAAAGGGTTAGTTCACCCAAAAATGAAAATTAGGCTGCGTTTTAATCTCCCCCGAGGCATCCTAGGTGTATATGACTTCCTTCTTTCAGATGAATCCAGTCGGAGTTATATTAAACATTGTCTTTGATCTTTCAAGCTGTTTAATGCCACTCAGCAGGTGTTGCATTGCTTCAGTCCAAAAGAACTTAAATAAAAATCGCCTTTCCTTTGCTAAAGTAAGGAAACTTTGCTTCCTTTGCTCCTGTTAACAAACGTTGGTTTTCACGAGACTCACCGGCGCATGCGCAGCGCTGAACTCATACGTCATGCTCCTGGAACTGCTTCTGTGTGGAACTGCTTCTGTGTACAACTGCTGGCGCAAGCTAGATTAAAGTGATTATTACGTTTTGAATATGGATATTTTTCTTACAAAAACGCATCGATTCGCTACAGGAGGCCTTTGTTCACCCCCCGGAGCCGTGTGAGACACTTTTTTTAATGGATGGGCGATTTTTATTTAAGTTCTTTTGGACTGAAGCAATGCAACACCTGCTGAGTGGCATTAAACAGCTTGAAAGATCAAAGACAATGTTTAATATAACTCCGACTGGATTCATCTGAAAGAAGAAAGTCATATACACCTAGGATGCCTCGGGGGTGAGTAAAACGCAGCCTAATTTTCATTTTTGGGTGAACTAACCCTTTAACTGTTCAAGAAGAATGTCTTTGGAAAAGTGTAGTAATTTGACAGTGGTTCCCAACCAAGGAGAAATAACAAATAAAAAAATAACATAATATTATTATAAATAAATAAAAAATAATTATAAAATACAATGATATATAATATAATAATAATGATAATTCTTATGATATCTTATTATAAATTGCTTGCAATGTTGTTCATTTGTAGATCTATTGGGATAAAATAATAAATAATAATAAAATAAAATGCTAAAATATAATTCCAAAATATAACAATATATAATATAAAATAAAACAGAATATAATATGTAATATAATCTAATCATAATTAGTTAAGATATGCTATGATTAATTTATTACAATGTTCTTAGTTTGTAAGTCAATTTGGATAAATTAAATAAATACAAATAAAATAATATTCAAAAATATAATAGTATTTCATATAATGATGATGCATTTTATGATATCTTATGATAAATTGCTTGCAATGTTCATTTTTAAGTTGCTTTGAATAAAAAAAAAAAGTTATTTGTAAGTCAAATTGGGTTAAATAAATAAATAAAATAATACTTTAATATAATAATATACCATAATATTAGAATAATGATGCGTTTTATGATATCTTATGATAAATTGCTTGCGATGTTAATTTGTAAACTGCTTTGGATAAAATAAAATAAAATAAAAAATAAAGTGTTTATTGGTTCATACGGTAAGTGGAACACCAAGTAGCACTAAGTGTTGGTGAATCTAAAAACCAAAATGGAGACAAGGCCCAAACTACACTCATTTCAGGATCATTTTAGTGTCTTATACCACACCATACAGATTCATTAATCCCCAAAAGACAGTTTTGTTGTATGGCTGCACATGAGTTTCAAAACCACTGCATCACACCACTGGTAAGCACCACACCTGTGTTGGTGAGACTGATGCTTTTTTCCAAGGAAAAGTGTCTAAGATCAAGTCAAGGCAAACAGCCAATACACTTGAGGCACTGTTTCTTTCCATTTCTGAGTAACTCTACGTGTAGTCATTACGGTCAGTCCCTAAACGTTCTTAAGGACTCAACAAATCTGTGTTTACATGCACTTTTGACTACCAGTTGCTCAACTGCTTCTTTGATCATGCATTGAGTATTTCATGCATCAACATGAAATTGTTTCAGGCTGAAACTTGGCCTTGGTGCAAGTGTTTGGCACGTCTCATGTACTCATGCACCTCATCTCACCCCCAGAACCAGAAGCCTACCTCTGAAGAAATCCTGCTGATGGCCGAGCAGCTCAGCATGGAGAAAGAGGTCATCCGAGTCTGGTTCTGCAACCGACGGCAGAAAGAGAAGCGTATACACCCCTCCAGCGCCACCCCTCCTCTGCCCAGCCAGACTCCTGCTTCAATGCACAAACCGCCCTGCTACAGCCCGCACATGGTACACCCACTCACGGCTTTAGCCATTGATCTGGCCCGAAGCCATTTCGGCAGACGGCTGGTGTTGAAATGTTGTTTGGATGGTGCATGGTGAGAATGGGCGCAAAATGCCGTACTGAGGAGACATGTCTGGTCATGATGTGTCTGAATAATGTCCCACCATAAAATGATAATTGGATCTTTGGAAGTAAAGGAAAATATTAAAGAACGTCATGAGGAGACGTATGTTTGTTAATTAGAGTCTTATTCCTTTTTCCTATAGATGTCCAGCCAGGGACTGGCTCAGGCCATTACCAGTCTCAGCACAACAGGTAAGAAGAGCAGTTTGAATGAATCGAAGTGTTGCATAACTTCACATTTGTGGTTGCGAGGACTGACACTGAATCCTTCCTCTTGAATCTAGCCGTCAGTCCCACATCTTCTGTGGCCTGCCCTCTCAACCCCAGTGGACATGCAGCAATGAGCTCCGCCCCTTCCTCTGTGACTCCGCCTCCTCTCAGCACAGTCAGCCCCACTCCGCCCAGTCTCAGCAGCCCTGGTCTGAACACAGGGTAAGAAGCTGTTTCATCTGTTTAGGGCAGGATAATGCTCTTTTGACACTGCTTTTATAGTAATAATGTGAAACTATTTGAAATTGAAACAACAACAGCAATTATAATAAATATTCGTTATTAATAGTAAATAGTACATTATTATAATTGGTTCTAAATATGTTATTATAAATAATAATAATGTTAATATTAATGATGAAGATGATTATTGTTATTTAATCAATTATTTGTTTCGGTTGTTTTAATCAACTAAGAAAGTAATGTATCGAATGATATATATGAATTGTATATATGAATGTTAATTTATTCATGTGTATTATACTTTGCAAATTTGCACAAATTCAGGATCCAGTGCTGTACATAATGTAAATGATTTTAGACCAAGACGATTAAAATATAAATAAATAATAAATATAATAATTATTATTATTATTATTATAATTATTATTATCAATTATTTGTTTAGGTTGTTTTACTCAGCATTGACATTTGAAAAAAATATTTGTACAAATTCTGTATCAAATGCTGTACATAACGTAAATGACAACAACATAACAACAATAATAATAATAATAATAATAATTATTATTATTATTATTATTTTAAATATGTGAACATTTTGCAAAACATTTTGTAATCCAATGTTACATCATGTAAGTGTAATTGTTACAAATACTTTTAACAATAAAATGTATAATAATAATAATAATAATATAAACCAAAACAATCTCTCTTTAGATTGTTTCAATCAAATTAATTATATCTGAATCATAAAATATTGTAAAAGTTCATTTGTTATTGTTTATGATACCTCTGATATTCAAGAATATTTGAATAAATCTGGCATCCAGTGTTCTGCATTATGCAAAATGTTGAGGTCATAAATTTGAAGCCTGTGATTACAACAGAGTGTAATTCTGTCAGCAGCTTGCAGTATGATTAAGCCTTCTGAACTGAAATAATTACAGCTTTGCTGTAGTCTTATCATACTTGTTTTCGCAGTGAAATCTCTATTCTCAGTTGTGTTCCAAACCTATCAATTGTAATCTAAACTGCCTGCTGAATTTCATGCTCTCTGGTTTTCTTTCTTTGTCTGTCTAATGTAAGTCTTTCCAGCATGTGAAATGAACACAAACTCCACGATGGACACGGTTGCTCTTGAAATGTCACTCAAAATGCTTGCTTCTCTCTGCATGTATGAATGGCGTGTGTTTGTGGGCACGTGTAAATGACACCACACACGTTACAGGAACACAATGATGGGTGTAAGCACAGGAATGACCCAGGCCCTCATCAGCAGCAACACCCTGGCCACAATGCAAGGTTTGTCATAGTGAGAGGACGAGAAAAAGGGCAGAAAATGATTGACAGATGGTTGCATGAAAGTGTTTTAATAGAACGATATGGAGGAGAACATGATTAGAGATCAGTTAGAATAACATGAGGGAAACCTTTCCATCAGTCATCATCAAAGAGCCGTCTACTATACTCTCACCGCATATTCATCACATCTTCATCCTCACTACTTACATACGTGTGTTTGTTGTGTACGTTTGCGTATATATGTGGTGTGTCTGTGCATTTTGTCTGTCTCTTTCAAAAGCACCTGCCATTTCTGTGCCCTTATGTTTGTTCTTGAACTCATTTTCATCCGAACCACTTCAAACCCTTTGCCACCAACACAGTGCTGGAGGCGATGCACATTCTAGAACCATTGTGTATGTTTACCCTGAAAAAAAGACAACTCTGGGCCAAATATGCATTTTATATTTAATAATCTATTTTTATTTACCTTAAATTTATATATTTATATATATATATATATACAGTGGGTACG